CTACATAACAAACAGTCAAACAACTGAAATTCATGACTCAGTTAAGTAGATACATATTTGGGGACAACACAAGTCATTCCATGACCCACAATAAAACCAAAAGTACAACTTTAATGGGATATTTTTTAAAATTTAAATTAAAAAATAGTAAAAAATCTATGCAGAAGTTAAATATAATCAAGTACAGTGGAATTGATAAATATATATGAGTGTGTGTGTGTGTGTGTGTGGGTTGGGGAGGGAGGCTGGTGAATTATAGCCCAGAGGTGACCTTAACATCTCCCAGTTTGGAAATCACTTACATTTATAGTGTGTGTGGACTGTCAGTTCTTAACTTTTTCCCTTTTGTGAGAGAAGTGCTATGTGGGTAATAGAACCAGCATTCTACTGAATATATCAACTAACGTTAGTGTTCAAGACAAAGTAAGGACATTGAATTAAACTTCGGGCCATAGGGATTCTTTCCTTAACACTCTTCCAATCCGTTATTCACCCTAAATGCATCTTAAGAGATTGAACTACTTTCCAAGAAATGTAGGGTAGTGGGGACTTGGCTGTTAACTGAACAAACTTAGCTGCGATGAGTTAGGCAATTGAAAAGGCCCCAAAGTAACTGGCTTCTTGGTCCATGTCAACCAGCTGTTCATTAGTGATGGAGACAAAAATCCTGTCATTTTCCTTAAGCTCAAAAACTCCTCCTTGATAGATGGAATAGAGTCCATATTCTGAATCTTTAGACCAGCAACTATTTCTAGCACTTTTCATCAGTAGGATAGGGTCAGGATAATTTGTGTATTTGTAAATATATTGTACCATTTGTTTACTCTTCCTTCTGTTCACTGCTGTTTCTTTTTCTTGAAATCGGAAATATGTTTGGGAATAGATGTAATAGAACCCAGTTTGATGGATAACCAATTCTCCATTCCTCAAGTGTAAATTTTTCAGGAACGAATGTCCTTCCCTTGATGACTCCCAGATCCTTATTTTCCTGCCGAAAGCCTTTTCGGTTTTGGAGCCTAGATCTGGTTAGAGAGAAAGAAAAAACTATCTTAAGAGATCAGAAGGGAACTTATAACAAAGCAAAAAAATTTTCCCAGCAGCTATGGTCAGTATTTGGGGTGTGTGTGTGTGTGTGTGTGTGTACAAAGTATATCAGACTAATAGAAAGCTTCTTGAGTTTTCAATCTTAGGCTGATTCTAAATTCTAATCATAATCTATTGGTTGGTTTCTGTACCTTTGCAAACTTTTGAGAGTCCTTTGATTTTCTATAACATGTTTGCTATTATGTCACATCTGACATGGATTTCTGAAATGAACCTAGAAGGAAGCAGGAATAAATTTAACTAATGCTTCAAGCCCAGAGATTGGAGCTTCATGCTATTTATTCTCTGGGATAAGTCCTTACTCTTTCTCAATTTTTCAGAGTCAAAGCAGAGAGGATCCCTAGTCCAAAATAAGGGAAGGCATATGTTTAGAAAATCTTACCAAGATTTAAAGATCTCCAGATCCTTGTTGTTTTTTTTAATTTCAGAGACTCTGAATGAAAGAATCGTGTGTGTGTGTGTGTGTGTGTGTGTGTGTAAACTTTGAGTCCATCTCTATAGTTCGTGTATAGTTTTTCAAGAACTTGAAACAACTAATAAATTTGTTAATGTGTTTTGGTGGCATCGTAGTTATATGTTGGGTTGCTAAGGACAAGGGCAGCAGTTCAAAACCATGATCCACTGTGTGAGAGGAAGATGGGGCTTTCAACTCCCAGACAGAGTTACAGTTGCAGAAACCCACAGGGGCAATCCTAGCTGGTCCTTTAGGGCCACTAGGAGT